TTTTCCAAAATAATTATTAAAAATTGTTCCTGCATTATGACCCCTAAATATTCGTGACTAATGTTCCTGAATCGGCTCATTAAATCTAAATAAATTCATATTTACAGTAATTTCTATTGCAGGCCCAATATGTACATCAATGGATCCATTGTTATCTAATAAAGTTCACCGAAAATATAAAAGCCCAGCCCAGCCCAGATCGAAAATTAAGTTTGACTTTTAAGTCAATGATCCAAAGTTTGTGAGATATGTGAATAATTCGAATAAACTCAATTAGTATGAAAATGGGGAAATTACGGTTTTCACCCCTAAATTTTGCACTGATTTTATATTTGGTCCCTCATGTTCACAAATAACACATTGCTCCCTCATGTTCCAATAATTTAATATTTTTGGTGATTTCTGTCAATTTGCCGTTTGTCTGTTAGTTAAGGTAGTGATGGGCACACGCTTGATTCCGTTTGTTTTAATGAGAAACTGATGGAAATGACTAAACGTATTGAATTTTTGCAATATAAGGGACCATAAGGATTTTTTATGAACACGAGAACTAAATGTGAAATATTTACAAACTTGAAGGACAAAAACTTTATTTTTCCGTTATGAAAATATTATAATAATTAATAACACCAACAACACAAAATAACAAAACATATGTTATACCACAGAATGGGGCTTCAAAATAATTATGGGGTTCACCTCCAGCCAGTGGCGTATCCAGTGTGGTCCAAGGGTGTGCTACTGCACACCCTTGATTTTAAAAAAAAAATATTTCCTATATATTTAGTAATATATAACTGCAAATGTGAAGTCAAGCCAATGCAATGCTGTAGCTGAACTGGTTAAGTGCTCTATAGCATTTTGAAGAGGTACAAGGTTCAAGACAAGGTTCAAGACCGAGATTCCGAACCTCTCTATTATTTTTTCTTTTTTATTCCTAATTTTCCCATTACATAAAATATTTCAATTGTTTTAAAAAAATGTTGAATATTTGGGTATTTTTTAAAATTTAAAAAAAAATCTCCTAATATAACATATATTTTGCTATTTGTAACCTTAATTTATTTACCATTTCTTTAATATTAAATATAATATAAATTATTCCAAAATTCTAAATATTGTATATATATATATGTATTATTTCAATTTTTTTTCTAAATTTACAACTATGTGGGTTTTCTTTTTGAAAATTCAAAATCTGCTAATGAATTGTACATTTCGTCACTTGCAACTTTAATATGTTTACCACTCCTTTAATATTTTCACCAATTTTATGTCTAAATATTTCCTAAATTTGCCAAAAAATGGTAAAATAATCCCTTTAAATTTAAAAATTTTAAAGATTTTTTTATTATTTAATGGGTACAATATTCAAAAATAAAATAAAATCGGGGGCGCTGCCCCCGAATCCCCGTAAACTATTAGCCAACCATTATATTTTTTACAATTCTGGATTCGCCACTGCCTCCAGCTGTCCCAATTTTTGCGTCAGAGACGCCGTGAGCCCGTGATTGGTGGTGGTTTGCCTCCATAGTGCCGCCGCAATCCGCCGTATCGTCCGATAATAATACTAATAAAAAAGTCAAAACAGAAAACACAGCTGGGGGGACCTTTATCCACGATATATTAAAAAAACGCGGAAGTGCGTAAACGCCGCCGGCAACCGGAGGAATAAAATAAGTGACACGTGGTAGACTGTAGACCCATGTCGTTTTCAATTCTGTAGGATGCGTTTTAACTATAAATCACATTCTGATGTAACGTGACACGTATACATATTTGTCCGAATCTAATGAGCGTCACGTGCTTTGAGTTCCCATCTTCTCAACTGCTCCCCCACTCTATCATATAATTTCGTCATTATTATTATTATTATTATTTATTATTTATTATTTATTATTTTTATTATATGGTATTATTTTTTATGAACTTTAGATATGGATTATTTTTGCAATGGAAAAATATTTAATGAAATCATCATTTTTAATGCTAAAACTTTCAAGTTGAAGTTTTAATCAAGCTACATTTAGAGAATGACATTTTCTTTAGGTGTAAAATAAATACATATACCCTAAAATAAGACTAAATAATTTACAAATACTTGCGATAATAGTAATTATAAATGTCCTTCTAACAACTTGTTATAAATAATAACGGATTGAATGCATTGTCTAAACTATCCAGATTTGAAATGTAAGAACAAATATTTCACGATTTTTTTCAAAATTCCACTATTCATAACTCCGTAAATATATAACTGTAAGACCGAGAAATAACTTAATGAGTATTTTTAATTAGCTATACCATGTGTGTTTGTATGTTATTTAAGCTTACATCAACGCTGCCCACAATTTAACTTTTTTTTTTTTATACAATTAAGCAACAAATTGTTATGTCCTCTTTTTTTTTTCTTGCAAATTTGTCAACATCTTATCATGGTGTAATATAATAAATGATAAACACAAAATTATTAAAATGAATAAGAGTACTCCTAAGTCCTAAACCACATGACTACAAATTTAACCTAAATCGTTAATCTTTAATTAATGATTAAGGTATGGGTTTTTGGTAATAATTGAGCAACAATTCAAAACCTAAATAAAGATATTTATTTATTTCCAAACGAAAACACCTCCCTCTCGACGCGTATCAGTTTTACCTAAAACTTCACACCAGCCGTCGATTCGCCGCCCTCTGTAGGGCCGAGATATCACCGGAGCAACTCTCTCTCTCAGCCGTTTCATTTTAATTAATTAATCAATTAATTAATTAAATATTGCAGAAAACTATTCCACGCCACCACCTTTTTTGAGGTTGTCTACCAAAAAACCAGCTCACCGCCTTCCTTCATATCATTAATAATATTTATATAAATCTTTTTTTTTTTAAATAAATAAAAAAGATTTTTCCTTTTGAACAATCTGGACTACTTCCTTGACTGTGTGTCTGTAACCCCTTTTTTTGCAATTAAAAAAATATTATTTATTTATTTATTTATAATAAAGATTTCGAGTTCTTCACCACCTCACATGGAAACACTCCTCCGCAAATCCTTCAAATCTACAAAGCCACAACAAGAAGAAGAACGCCAGATTCTATTAACACAAAACCCCACTTCCGCCGCCGCCATGACGTCATCCAAAGACCCCGTTATCAGAATCGACGGCGACGATTTACCCAACGCAAACGCCGGCGGCACTAGTAACGGCGAAACTAACAGAATGTGGAGGGATTCCAGTTACGATTTCTCAAACGACGCCGTAATGAAAGCCGCCGCCAACTCCAAGGACTTCGATTTCTCCGCCGACTCGCCGCTATCCCAACAGTCGCCGCTATCCAGAATCCCGGAGAGCCCGACCGCCGCCAACAACTACGGCCCGCTCACGCCGAGAGACGTCCGCGTCTCGTTCCACGAGGCACCCGAACCGGCGGCGAACCGGCCCTCCAGCGCCGAACCGGAGGAGGTCCTCCGCTGCAGCTCGAACAACTCCTTCCGGCGAAAATCCAGCCTGATGAGAACCAAAACCAAATCCCGGCTGCTCGACCCACCGGACGAACAATACAATCAGAGATCCCACACCCAAAGAATCGCTAAATCACAGTTAATCGGAAAAGGGGCGAACAGCGAACTCATCGACGACGACGACCCGTTTCTAGAAGAAGACCTACCCGAAGATTACAAGAAGATGAAATTCAGCACCATCTCTGTATTACAGCTCGTGAGTTTAATTCTAATTATCGCCGCATTAATTTGCAGCCTAACAATTAACTTCCTGAAAAAGAGAAACGCCCTCGGTTTAGAGATTTGGAGATGGGAATTAATGGTGCTGGTTCTAATCTCGGGTCGGTTAGTATCCGGTTGGGCGATACGGGTCGCGGTTTTCTCCGTCGAACGGAACTTCCTCCTCCGTAAACGGGTTTTATACTTCGTTTACGGGTTGAGAAATTCGGTTCAGAACTGCGTTTGGTTGGCCCTGGTTTTAATAGCTTGGCAATGCATTTTCGATAAGAAAGTCGAGAGGATCACTAGCCATAAGATTCTACCTTACGTGACGAAAGTTTGGATTTGCCTCTTGATCGGAACCCTAATTTGGCTGCTGAAAACGTTGCTCGTAAAAGTACTAGCTTCGTCTTTTCACGTGAGCACGTTCTTCGATCGTATCCAAGAAGCGTTGTTCAATCAGTACGTAATCGAAACGCTATCGGGCCCGCCATTGGTCGAGATCGAGAAAGAGATTGAAGATGAAGAGAGGGTTATGGTTGAAGTTGAGAAGCTTCAAAAAGCGGGGGCCACGATTCCGCCCGATCTTAGGTCGTATATGTTTCCGAAGAGTGGGAGAATTATCGGGGGTACTCCGAGGAAAAGTACCGTTTCCGTGGGCCCCAAAAGTCCCGTTTTTTCTAAGGTGATGTCGAAGAAGGAAGAGGAGAATGGGATCACGATTGACCATTTGCACAGGTTGAATCAGAGGAATATATCGGCGTGGAATATGAAGAGGATGATGAATATTGTTAGGAAAGGGGTAATTTCGACTTTGGACGAGAAATTGCAGGATTCTACGGGCGATGACGAGGCGATGGTGCAAATCACGACCGAGAATCAGGCGAAAGCTGCTGCTAAGAAGATCTTTATTAATGTTGCCAAACCGGGATCTAAGTGAGTTTTTCTTTTATGCTTTTGTTTGATGTTTATTTATTGATTGGTTTTATTTGCTATTTTTGAGTAATTGACAAATATGGATTTCTATGAGGGGCTCAAAATGAAAATTAGTAGTTATATTTGTGTTTTAGATTTGGTTAGTTGATCAAGGTTACGACTTTCTATTTCGATGATGTGAATTCGAAAGAACCTAATGCATTTGTTTAAGAGATTATTGAAAATCGGAAATTAGAGTTGAAAATCGGAAATTGTGTGATCATCAGATATATTTTCCAAGAGGATTTGATGCGTTTTATGAGGGAGGACGAGGTTTTAAAGACTATGCGCCTCTTTGAAGATGGAAGCGAGCAAAAACGAATCTGCAAACGAACCCTTAAAAATTGGGTGGTAAGTAAATTTTATTGCTTCATTCTTTTTTCCTTGTCTCACTACTAATCGCCGATTTTTTGCTAATTTTGTAATCTCTTAATTCGAAACAGGTGAATGCATTTCGGGAGAGAAGAGCTCTTGCTCTGTCTCTAAACGACACGAAAACGGCAGTCAACAAACTACACCAAATGTTGAATGTGATGGTTGGAGTTCTCGTTATCGTAATTTGGCTACTCATACTCAAAGTGGCAACAACACACTTCTTCATCTTCTTGAGCTCGCAGCTTCTCTTAGTTGTGTTCATGTTCGGAAACACGTGCAAGACCACATTCGAGGCCATCATCTTTTTGTTCGTGATGCACCCTTTTGATGTTGGTGACCGTGTCGAAATCGATGGGGTGCAAGTAAGTTCCACAATCAAAATTGAATATATAAATATATAATATATTTTTTTTCTTTATAATATATAACTCTTTGTGTTTCGATTATGATTTCAGATGGTGGTAGAAGAAATGAATATATTGACCACGGTCTTCCTAAAATTCGACAACCACAAGATTTACTATCCAAACAGTGTCTTATCCACAAAGCCGATCCACAATTACTACCGTAGCCCGGATATGGGAGACTCAATCGATTTCTGCATCCACATTTCAACTCCCGGTGAGAAAATCGCAACAATGAAGGAAAATATCATAAGGTATATCAATTTGTCTTTTTCTTTAATTATCATTATTATGCTATTTAAATAATAATATTTTCCCCGAAAAAAGAAAGAAAGAGAGAAAATGACCATTTTGCCCCTCATTTTAAAAACTTTGCAGGTACGTGGATAATAGGGGGGACCATTGGTACCCGTCGCCGATGATAGTGATGAGAGATGTGGAGGACATGAATCGGTTGAAGTTTTCGATTTGGCTATCGCACAAAATGAATCATCAAAACATGGGGGAGAGATGGTCAAGGAGAGGGCTACTCGTCGAGCACATGGTCAAGACTTTTAGGGAACTGGATATCGAGTACCGGTTGTTGCCGCTTGATGTGAATGTGCGTAATATGCCACCGATAAGTTCGAATAGAGTGCCCTCTAATTGGACCGTTTGTGCTCCTCCGTGAGCTCTTACTTGGGGCAGAGAGGATTCAAGTTTCTAATTGGCATATTAGTTCCATATTTTGTATATATTTGTTTTTTTTTTCTTTTTCTTTTTTTTTTTTTTAAGAATTTGAAATGAATTTTGGATTCTAATTTTTTTTTTATAGAAATTAATCAAATATTACCTTTCAAGTTCACAAAGATTTTAGACACATCTATTTTCTTGAGTCGAGTAAAATGTTATGTCTTAAGAAATTTTTTAAATATAAAAGTAAGAAATGCTAGGATAATCTAGTAAGTCCTGATGATATATTTGTAATTTAAAAAAAAAATTAATTATTATTATTATTGTTAATATTATTTTTGTCAAAAATGGACAATATTGGTTTCTTTGCTATAATTTAGTAAGTTGAGGTATGTCCTGCAATTGTTTTTCGGTTTAGGAGTAAAGTGGAAAATCGTCCAAGATTTTTTGCAGATAACCAAGAATAAAAGAAAACAATTTCATCGTTGACTTCTCTCTCACAAATCAGACCACCACTATTACCCGCCACAACACCACCAGCACCGCTGCTCCACCGTCGAAACACCACCACCACCACCTCCGCTCCGCCGATGTGCACCAAATAATGGAGTTTGGGAGGCATCGTGCAATTTTCTTTTTGTTTGGGATAATGTGCAAACATATCGAAATTCGGGGGTAAAGTGCACTTAACCTTTATTTATATAACAAAGAATTAACAAAAATACCACAAGAATTCCATGGTCCAAAGCTTTTCTACACAACTGACGATCATGGGTTCGATTCCGAGTGGTGGAGTCATTCAATGAATTGAGTATTCAATGTAAAAGCATCTAACTGAACTCTATAACATATTGAAACATCTTTAATATTGGATCTTCTAGAGTTTAGAACTCTAGAACATATTGGATGATCTTCTCTAATATTGGATTCGGTCTAGAACTGAACTCTAGAACATATTGTAACATATTGGAACATCTCTAATATTGGATCTTCTAGAGTTTAGAGCTCTAGAACTCTAATATTGGATCTTCAGAACTCTAGAACATATTGAATAATCAATTTATCAAGTTCCATTGGAAATCGAACATATTGGATGATCTACATATTGGATGATCTTCTCTAATATTGGATCCGGTCTAGAACTGAACTCTAGAACATATTGATTCTAATATTGGATCTTCAGAACTCTAGAACATATTGGATAATCAATTTATCAAGTTCCCTTGGAAATCGAACATATTGGATGATCTTCTCTAATATTGGATCCGGTCTATAACTGAACTCTACAACATATTGGATCTTCAGAACTCTAGAACATATTGGATAATCAATTTATCAAGTTCTCTTGGAAATCTAGAACATCTTGGATCTTCTCTAGATATTTTGTTTATCAAGTTCATTGGATATCCTCTATCTCTAATATTGGATCCGGTCTAGAATTCTAGAACATATTAGATTCTAATATTGGATCTTCAGAACTCTAGAACATATTGGATAATCTTCTCTAATATTGGATCCGGTCTAGAACTCTAGAACATATTGGAACATATTGGATGATCTTCTCTAATATTGGATCTTCAGAACTCTAAAACATATTGGATGGCCTTCTCTAATATTGGATCTTCTCTAATACTCGGTTTAGAACATCTTGGATCTACTTCTCTAATACTCGTCGATTGATATTTTGTTTATCAAGTTCCCTTGGAAATCTAGAACATCTTGGATCTTCTCAAGATATTTTTTTTTATCAAGTTCATTGGATGTCTAGAACATCTTGGATCTTCTCTAGATATTTTGTTTATCAAGTTCCTTGGATGTCTAGAACATCTTGGATCTTCTCTAATACTCGTCGATCGATATTTTGTTTATCAAGTTTCCTTGGATGTTTAGAACATCTTGAATCTTCTCTAGTACTCGTCGATTAATATTTTGTTTATCAAGTTCATTGGATGTCTAGAACATCTTGGATCTTCTCTAATACTCATTGTTTGATGTATATATCCCATCTCGCACTCACAGATCTCATCTTCGAAAATATGATATTTTGTTTATCAAGTTCGTCGATAGTGTCGATGGATAATATCAAGTTCGTCGATAGTGTCGATGGATAAATCTTACGAGAACAACACTGATGTATATATCCCATCTCGCACTCAATGATCTCATCTTCGAAAACGTGATATTTTGTTTATCAAGTTCGTCGATAGTGTTGATGGATAAATCTTACGAGAACAACACGCTTCTTTCGTACAATCTGTTGTCCATAGCTAAAGGATCCCGAAAAGATTCTTGATAACAAATTGATCAAACAAAGTATCTCGGATTGAGTTCAAGTAGGTGTTAACTTGATAGGTCGAGGATAAGAACTCGATAACCAAACTTTTCAATAACCAAATAATCGAAGAAACCAAGAGGCACATAAATATTCTAGTCAAATACTTCACAATCTTGCTCTCCGTCTTTATTGTGATTAACTTCTGGTTGGAAAGCAATGCGCACAGTAAGATTTAATGTTGCATTAATATTTTTATAATCCCTCGAATGAAATAGATCAATTTGGTCTGAAATAGCAATTCATTTCGATTATGACAATCGTGATTGCAATCAAATAGGGGTGGCAATTTGGATCTGGTTCTATAGACCCGATTAGATCCGGTTCGGTCCATATAGATCCAGTTTAGATTAAATCTAGTTGTAACAAACCGGATCGGATCAAGTTGATTTTTTTTAAAACTGGATCCATGTGGATCCACTTTAGATCCATTGAAAGTTCAACTAAAAACGAAGTGGGTCATATTGGATCCAACCAAAACCAAATTAAATACTAAAATAATTTTCTCAAAAAAAATCAAATATTATTTTAATTGTAAATTTAATAGATCAAACATTTTTAGCCCTGATGTGTGTGTGTGTGTGTGTGAAAAATGTCTTGGAGTATGTGTGAAAAGTGTGTATGTGCATGTGCGTGTGTGTGTACAAAAGTGTGTGTGTGTGTGTGTGTGTAAAACGTGTGAATGGGTATGTGAGTGTGTGTGTTTGTGTGTAAAAAATGTGTATGTGTATGTGAGTGTGTGTATGTGAGTGTGTGAAAAGTGTGTATGTGCATGTGAGTGTGTGTGAGTGTGCGTGTGTGTACAAATGTGTGTGTGTGTAAAAAGTGTGTATGTGTATGTGAGTGTGTCTGTGTGTGTAAAAAGTGTGTATGAGTGTGTGTGTAAAAAAGTGTGCGCGTGTGTGTGAAATATGTGTGTTTGAAAAGTGTGTGAATATTATGTGTAAGAGTGAAAGTTGAGATATTAAACCACATAAATTGAGATAATAAACCTTAATAGTTCAGATATTCAACCTCATAAGTTGAATTAAAGATGAAATGAATCCATGTGGATCCAATCCGGATTAGTCTAAAATTTCGAATCCACAATTAAATCTATTCATAGAGGTTGATTTTGGACCCGATTCCATTTGTATCCGATCCACATGGATCCAGATCGGATCCGGTCCAAGTTGCGAAATTGCCACCCCTACAATCAAACTTTCAGAAATCAATTTACCAAATATTAAAAAGAGCCCTATTGTCTATAATCTCCACAAATTCAGTCCCACTAACTTCTTTGTTTTTCATTTATCAATAAAGACAGTAAGAAGTATAGTTAAAGTCAGAACAATCGAACCGCTGATTTGCAAATTACGGACAAGATTCCTGCCTCTCAATAAGCCTTCTTCTCGAATTTCTCGAACTTCCACTTCGGGAACCCAAAAAGGTGTAACTTGCATTTTAACATCGATTTTTTTTTATCAGAATAACCGTGTTCGCCACATTCGCTAGCGAAGGCGGCGGTGAGTCGATCCCAATTTCGCTGCAGCCGCCGTTAGTATTTGTGCGGCCAACGTCGGTATTTCTGCGGACGCCATCAGTATTTGTGCCACTGCCTTCAGTTACAATACCGGCGCCGCTGCCTTCAGTACCGACACCGGCGCCGCCGCCACCGAAGTCTGCGAAGACCTTGATTTTGTCGCCACTTGTTAAGTGTATATTTATACACTTAATTATACCTTTTAATTGGAGCTTTTGATGTGTTTTTACGATAATTGGTGCTTAATATGGTTATTAATTGTATTTTAGGTGCAAATTGAAGAATTGGCAACTTTTGGGGTGAAAACTGCAATTTCGGAGAAAAAGTGGGTCAAAAGTGAAAAAAAGCAGAATTCTGGAGAATTAAAGGACCGCGCGGCCGTGCGGATTGTAGGCATAAATCTCACACGGCCGTCCGGATGGTCGAATTGGCGCAGTGAAGGAATCCTAATTACACAAGGAAACCCGCCCTATTATAGTTTTGCACCCTATTTAAAGGCCACAAGCACACAATTAGAGATATCTTTTACCTTTTATCTTAAATCTTTAGGTTTTTATTTTTCATCTTTCTACACGCGATCAAGGAGCACAAGAACGAAGACGAAGACTTGACGAATCTTCATCCTAGTTCCCCTCTTTGACTTTTATTTATAGCTTTTATGATTTTTATTACTTTTATGTTTTTCGTTATGCGGAGCTAAGTTTTTAATCTAGGATTTTGTTGGAACCCTATGTAGGGATTGTGAACCCTTTTTCTTGAGATTATGCAATTATGATTTTATGATTATTTCTTCTACTTGATATGATTGTTAGTGCATGAACTTGATCAATTTATGTGCTTTATCTGTGATTATTGGGATTGACTCGACAGAGCTATTTTGATAATTAGACGGTGAGTAGAAGAGCCTTCGAGTAGTTTTCACCGGATGAGTGTGTCAATTGCATGTGGTGTCGTAGACATACAGATATCACCTTAGGTAGCCAATTACGAGACTTGTTAGTTAATGCTTTATTCATAATTGGTTTGCATAGACATATAGTGAATCGTTTATGAATACTAGACTCATAATACACGCGACAGCGGGTTATGAGTAAATTAGTGTCTCGGGTTAATAATCATGAATCATATATTTCATAATTGAGGGGTTTTGGGTGAGCGATTTTTGCATAGGGGGAAGATAAAATCCTAGGTCCGTTTTTATTGATATTTTCTCGTGTTTAATTGCTTTCATAATTAGTTTAATTGTTTGATTGATTTTATTTGACAAACTTGC